CCACCACCACTACCACCACCATAACAGAGATGTGCCAGCTTGATTCCCAAGTGATTTTTAAAATGATATTCTTGCTGAAGAGCAGGAACCATGCTCCTTCATACCGAGTTGTGGGAAGCCCTCCTTTAATAGCTTTTGACTAATTTCGGAACACAGGGCTCCATGTATAGAAGTATGCGGTACACGAAAAAGTCTGCCAAGCCTATAGCTACTTTTTGTCTCTCGCTTTCTTTGGACATTGCCCTCTTCTTGGTCTCTATCATGATTTGTTGCTGTTGTTACATGCTGTCTAGTCGCCTGCAACTCATAGTGACCCTATGTACAACAGCCCTAATCCCTGCTCTATCCTTTGCCAATCTTATATTGTCTCTGACACACCTATCCCCATTACCCCAGTCACTGAATCAATCCACTTCATCTCATCCGCTGACCCTCCACCCTCCCAAGCATGACGTCCCTCTCCAAGGACTGATCCTGCCTTGCAACATGCCCAATGTATGGCAGACGAAGCTTCAGAATCCTTGCCTCCAAGGAGGAGCCTGGCTTCACTCTCTCAAGGATGAACTTGTTTATTCTCCTAGCAGTCCAGGTATATGCAATACTCTTCTCCATACTACAGCTCAAAGGCATTAAGTCTCCTTCTATCCTCCCTAGTCATTGTCCAGCTTTCTGATGCATAGCAAGTCATGGCAAAGACCATGTCCTGGATCAGATGCACCTTAGTCATGAGTTTATAAGGTTTGGATTATAGGAAGAAAGCGTAGAGCAAACTAGAGTTTACTCAGGTACTAGAATAAACTGTTCATTCTTCCGTCATACATATATGAGTTTATCTTCATATGGGACCAGGCAAGGAAGGGGAGGAGCTAAAACTCTGAGAGGTCATTAAGAAGGAAAAACAGAACCGTAGACAGATCTTTGATGCTGGTCCACTTCTACTCGACAAAGAACCCCTCAAGGCCAGAGCAAGGGAGCCTTTCAGGCCTGGCCTGGCTCCTATCCCCACAGCATGCAGGGACAACTTCAGTCAAGCACCAGGCCTGTTTCCTCTCCATGGCCACGAGCATAGGATTAGATGGATCAACCAACATAAGCATTTTCTCAAGAGAAACCCTTCTCTACAGAAACGATACGCATCTGGATTGACCGATAGATGGTGTTCTGCTGGTGTGGCCAACTCAAGAAAGACCATGTGTTCCATACCTGGTAGTCTGGAAAGGAAAGGAAAAAAAAGAAAAATCATAAGGGCAGGACTGTAGAAGAGCACAAGAAACTTAGTAGAAAAATCAGCTTCTACTGTCATTTCGAACATGGTCCCCCAGTGGATCACATTTTCTCCTTGCCCTGAATTTCTAAGTACTGTCTCATCTACCTCCTTTAAGCCGGCTCCATTTTTGGTCATCAGTTAAACCATCCCTTTCTTTCTCCTGGAAGCTTTCCCTGACAACCAGAAGTGTTTCTTCCTTCTCTCTACATCTCCATTTATCACACTGATACTCTCAGAGGCCATGCATTTTGAAGGGCACATGCTACCATTGTGTCTTGCCTGAGTCCATACAAATGACAAGAGTAAGGGCCAAGTCTTGTTCCCCGCTCTCCCTCCAGGAATCTCATAGCTTGTTCAGTGCACAGTAGCGACAATAAGCACTTCTTGCACACTCTCTTTTCATGGTTTTATTTCATCACTGACCTTTGAAATGTTATTTAACTGTTAACTCCTACGAGGAGGCACAGCAGCATCAGCACAGCCAATATACGTGATGATACGTTGCCTTTCGTGGACCTTGGCCATAAAGGGAGACTACAGCCAATGTCAGTCAACAGCCTGGCCTCTGAGACTCACCTCGGACTCCACCACTGACGTCCCCGTAGCTGTTGTACTGAGCAAAGTCGGTGGAGACAGGCTGCAAGAAGGAAAACACATGAGTGGACACCCGGCACAGTGGCAACCACTTTGGAGTCAGGTGACAGGAAATGAAATTCTAACAATTCTTTCTTTCCAAGTGAAATTCTGGTGGTGGTGGTTGTTAGGCGTCATCAACTCCAAGTCATAGCAACAGACCAAAACCCTGCCCAATCCCAGGCCATCCTCACAACCTCTGCTGTGAATAAGCCCATTGTAACAGCCTGTGTCAATCCACCATGGGGAGGGGGGGGTGTCTTCATCTTCTTATCTGACCACCCATCTTTCTGAGGATGATGCCTCTTTCCAGGGAGAAAGACACGTGGTCCCGCTGGACAACAAGCAATTTTACATCTTGCCAAAGTATCTTTGCCTTTGAAGATTAAGGGCTGTACTTCCTCCAAGCCAGATTTGTTTGGGTGTTTTTTTGGGGCAGTTCAATACTCTCTGCCCAAATTACAATTCAAATGCATCAGTTCTTTGTCAGTCGTCCTAATTCATTCTTGGGCCCTAACAATGATCCTAGTCAAGCTCACATAATTATAATAATGCAAACAAGGACCTCTGGAAGCACAAAGGCTGAATGAGCAGCTGCTAGCTGAAAGCTTGGTAGGTGGAACCCTCTCAGGGGCTCCTTGGGAGAGACTTGGTGGTTTGCTTCTGTAAAGACTACAGCCCAGAAAATTCTAGGAGGTAGTTCTCGCAAATACCAGATTGCTGTAAGTTGGAATTGATTAGATGTTGCCTAATTTGTCTTTTATTACTATTAAATCTTTGCCTTTCATAGACCATCTAATGTCACTGTACAAGATGTTGTTGGTAAGTGGGTATTTTCTGCAGATAATAAAGAATAGGTCAGGGTTTAGATCTGTTGTTCTTGGGTTGCTATGAGTCTTACGCATAGATGCGGCTTAACAACAACTTAATTACACAGTTGTGTTTGTTCTACTTTTTGTAGGGAGGACATACCAGATGTTCCTATTTCTCTTCACAGCACAGATATTGACTGAAGTAATTGCTTTTCCTTGATTATAAATGCATGACATTTCAGCAATAATATAAAAAAGTTAGATTGAGTCAGATAACATGCCATGACGTCATACAGGACTGGGGATGGAAATGTCACAGAAATAATTAACTAGAGCCACAAACAACATGACTATTTCAAGATTAAAAGGAATTTAACCAAAATGTGCAACAATGAATGAATGAAAATCCAACTTTAAACTTTAGTTAAAAATCACACTTAAAAAAATTACTATTGGGGGAGGGGGGAGGGGTTTGTGCAGGGAGAAGGGTGCAACAATGAATGAATGGAATTCCAAAATCTCTGTAGATGTTCATTGAAATGAAAAATAAACAAACTAAATTTAAAAAAATTACTATTAATAAAAAAATAACAGGAACTTACCCGATGGAGTCCATTTTTGCCATAGCCTGGGAGGGACGAGGTTTTCGATGATGGAGCATGAGACACTGAATGGGGGGAAACAAATCAATTGCTAAGAAGTCAAGAATCTAGAAGTCTGAGTTGCCAATGCAAATTTGGTGCTGTTAATTCACTTTGCAGAACGGCAGTTTTTAAATAGATTGCTTAAATAATATCGGGCTCAAGTGTTCTCAAGCATCACTGTACCTGAGTGCTTCCAGGAATGGGTGATCAGAGATGGTACTCAAGAACAGTGAGGAACGCAGTGCATTGTACCTGAGACAAACTGTTTCCTAAGATTTCAGAACACACCTACGTGCTCGGCAGGCTTTATCTCTTTGACTCCTCACTACAAGCCTAGAAGTACAATCATTAGGGAAGTCTGGTGGCTGATAGAGGGTTTGGCTGCCAACCCAAAGGCAGGCAGTTCAAATCTACCAGCTGCTTCACAGGAGAAAGACGGGCAAAATCTCTTCCCATGCAAAGGACAACCTTGGAAACCCGATGAAGGATCAGCTGAGTTGGCAGCAGTGAGTTTTGAGTTCTTGCATGCTCTAAATACTAATAAAACCTGAAAGGCACTCATTGGACAGAAAAGCATGCTGATGATTCAGAACACAGGAGAAAAGATCTGGGTGAAGAGAGAACTGGTTTGTGACGAATGTAAAACCCAACCATCCTCCTGGTCACTGAGTGGATTTTAACTCATGGCGTCCCTCCACTGGGTTTCTGAGTCTGTCTGTCTTTACAGGAGGAGACTGCCCACCTTTCTCCTCCAAAACAGCTGGTGGATTTGAAATGCACACCTTTTAGCTAGCTACACAACACCCAACACATTATGCCACCTGAACGCTTTCTGACAAATACGAAAAGAACGAAATACACTGATAGACTCTTTCAAGCTACTGGTTCTGTAATTTGCTTCAAAAGTGTTAAGAACAAAATCACTGGTCCTCAGATTGTGTACTGAATGTACAACTGTGAGTCCACAATGCCTTGGAAACGTCTTGCTTATGCTCTCTCTAGGAGAAACCCTGCACAGACCCTCTGTTCTCTATGAAAAAACCCCCCTCAGTACCATCAAATCAAAACCAACTAATAGCTGACCCTCCACTGGGTTTTTGAGGCTGTACATCACTTGGGGGGAGGCTGACTTTCTGTCTTGCAATGAACAGAGATCCACAGAGATCTCCTTTGGGCTGCTTCCCTCTAAGATGTTTGTTCTAGAAGGGAGTTCTATCATGCGGGAGAGGTTCCTCATTTTTAAGCTCCTCCAAGCAGCAGGAAGGAAATACCACTTGGAAGGAAGAAGTATAGCATGCACATAAATTGAAGCCTGTTATAGAAAATGGGCTTCCTCGCTCCCCTTTCTGTAGGCCACTCTGTGGGTGGCAGCGGACGTGGTCCTGCCTCTCCTGAGAGCCAACGCTGGCTCCTTGCACGTGGGCAGCCTCCTCTTGGCTGGGGAAGACGATGAATCTGCCTCTCACCTGAGTTGATGGGAGAATCATAGCGACTGGCTAGGAGAGCGGCCCTTTCCCGGCTCTCCTTCTCCCTCTCCATCTCTTCTTTCAGTATCAACTGCCCCAGGCCTGAGTTGAGCTAGGCACAGAGGAAAAACAAAAAGTGAAAAAAGTCAAGTGTGCCATTACTTTCACGAAGATGCAGTTTCCGCTGTAGATTGTCACAAGGAAGGAGGTCGTGGTTCAGGAGGAGTCTGGGGCCTGTGGGATTCCTCAAGAGGCAGCACAGGTTTTTGACCCTGTCCCCCTCTTAGCCATTTCAAGGCTCGATTTCTCTCAGCCAGGTTGTCCAAAGAATATCCTCTATCTTCCCTGTCTTCCTCTCCCTCAAACTGCCAGCCGGTGACCTCAGGAACTCAGAGATTATGTGAGAGGTTTTGATGTGACATGTGGAGGTGAGGGAGGCAGGCACGGCAGCCTTTAAAATGAAATTACAGTGATTTGTTTAAAAACAAAAGAAAAAAGCAGCACATGCCTTTTGTACAGTCTCTGGAAACTAGAGAAGTGGAGCAACTAATTCATAATTAATAATAACTCAGAGATAAGCACCACCCAGGATTCCTCTACCTACAATATTTTACAAAGTTGGAATCATGCAAGGAGTGAAGACTATCCTCCTTGTATGTAACAAACATCATGTGCGTGTCTCCATGTAATTACAGGTCTTCAGAAACTCTCATGCCCACAGCTTCAACAGCGCCTCCATGGTAGTTTACTGTCTTCTCCCTCCAGTCCTGGCTCTAAGTGGCTAGCCTTCTTTGGTCTTCTAAATTCTACAGAGCCCATGCTATGGTTGGGAGAGTATGTGGAGAGCTTCTAGGGGCTGTCCCTTTTCTCCTGGCCCAGAAAGACATGCAAGGCCCTTCTCCTCTTTGGGAAAGACTTGGAGAAATGCTCAACCCCAAAGGGATTCTAACAACAGAGCAGGCGGGACTTTGGAAAGAAATCTTGTCCTTCTCATCTTACCCGAGTCTCAGGCTGGGCCTACCTGGCCCGTAAACATCCTTTCCACACATGTACTTAAACAAGCTCATACATGCTTCACATACTCTCCCACTTCTCACCCAAGTACACCGTGTCCCTTTAGTCTCTGGCGTCAATGTCTTCTCCTCCAGAACCCACTGGACACTGTCCTACTACAGTTCCTAGATACCTGTCTTATCTCGCCCACCACACTGCAGGCTCCTTGAGGGCAGGACCACCTCTTGTTCGTCTCAGTGATCTGCACCCAGTAGACATTCCAAAGACACAGAACGGAAGTGTAGGGGAGGCAGCAGCAAGGGAGTTCGTGCACAAACCTTCATCAATTGCTCTTCTTGGAGCTGTCGGCGCCGCAGAAGTTCTTCCTCATCTTCCTCTCTGCCACTAGATCTGCGTCTCGTATCAGTTCCTAGTTCCACAGCAAAAACAACCTCTCACATCAGCCCCACCACAAGGGAATCTTAATGGACTAGTCCTCCCGTGCTCAGGTTGTTAAGTTGGCTAAGTCAGCCATGGCCTCTAACGTTGTGAAGGGAAAGACAGAAGGGTAGAAAGTTCCCACCACCGGCGGAGGACAACTGGCTGGTTTCTAGAGAGAATGAGCCTGTGTAACAAGCCAGTTCAATGTATGGTGTGAGACAGGGACCAACTGTGGCTTTGAGACCACTGGCCTGCTCAATCAGAACTTGCCTGGCTTTTGTGATTAGCAGCATATAAGTTATCACATAAACTACTGGTCAGGCTCACTGGAGGTCTATCTATAGTCTGTCTTTTATTTCCCTGACGCCAATTTAAAAGAGTGAGGAATTGAAATTCATCTACAAATACATCAAGTAGCTGTGATGGTCTGTTTCCTGAGACACATTTTTAAGTCTTTCTCTTTTAAAGTCCATTTTTCTTAATCTTAAGGGTTTACATATAACAAGGTGATGTTATTAATTAACAAAAATGCCTTTTGCTTTTAAGGGATAAGTCTCTAATATTTCTTTTTTCTTAATCCTTTGAATAAAATGGTCAAAAAAAAAAGGAATTTTATACTAATAGTCTAGCTTTAAAGTTACTTAATTGGGTCACTATAGCAAATCATGTGTAAATTTTGAGCTTCCTGGCAACAAGACAGGCAAGGGGTCAGAAGGAATCTGTCTGAATAGCTGGAAGGATTAGGATCATTATTTTCCCCCTAAATTGCTTGGGTTAAGCTGGCTGTGCAAGGAAACAGGAAAGTTTGCTAATCTAATCAAAATAAATGTCAATGAATAGCCTTAGTTTTTATCACTTTGATTAATGGTTCCTGAATGTTTCACATATTAGGACCTTGGAGGATTTGAAACTATTCCGAGATAATGGTTTTAAAAAGGAATTTTTTAAATTCTCCTTGTCCCTGCCCAAGTGGCCCCAAAGTTGAGTTACTCTTCTTTCTCCACTAAACAAGATTGAACCAGAAACTAGGGGTCACAAGAACTTACTGAAGGACATAGATTAGGGAAGAAAAATTGATGGCTGCCTCAGTTCTAACCATCATAAATGTCGTCTGAATTTTCTCTCTTTGGCCTACGCTCACAAGAATTACTACCCACGTGTGGGCAAGAATGAACCAAACCTCAAGTCAACGGAACCCTCAGCCTATGGTGAGTAACGGACCAAAGACATGGGTTTTCCTTCAAGTCTTTGAAAATGGGACTTGCTTCCAAATCAATTTATGTTTCTTGGAAAAGATACCCCCAAAGCTCTTGGTGAGATGGAGTGTGATGACGAAAATCTGGATGTTTTGGAAAATTGAAGGCTCTTTAGGATTGTTAACAGAAATGGGATCATCAGACCGTGCTGTCTTTGTGAGGCCTGCTCACTCACGTTGCTGTATTAGCTCGTGTTTGCTGACACATCTTTCTTAGGTCAGGTGGTGCCCTTACTCCTGAGACAGTGAAGACACAGACACATTTTATGGCATAAATCCATGGTTTAAAGCAAAGAATGAAGCAGCCCAAGTGTGTGACAATATAGCACAGGATTCGTGGAGATGAGAGACAAAAACTGCAGAACTTCACCCAAGTCGTGGTTCAGAGTGCTCCCTACACTGTGGTGACCCTTCTTAGCCAAGAATGTGATCTTGCAAGAAAAGTGAAAGCACTTCAATGTTAAGACTGGTTGTTAAAGAGAAATGGAACTAAAGCCTGGACTTAGTCTAAAACAAATTTCACGGGATGCAGTCTTCCTTGTATGAAGACTCAATAAATTCACCCATCCAGCCTCCAATGACACGGTGCGAGGTCCGTGTTCTGAGGTGTTCATCCAAATAGGTTAAAAAGCCACTAGTTTTGCATCATCACTCAGAGAGTCCCCCGCAAACCATCTGTTTTAGACCAGCCCTGAGGCTCATGGGTTTGGTTAGAACACAGCCCTGATGGGTGTGGTTTTATAACCTAAGACCTCTGCATACAAGTTACCATCACATTAGATTTCCCCTCCCCCATGGCTCTACCTCTCCATCTTTTAGTTTTAAAGTCCTTGTAATCATAAACACTGTCTTGCACACTTCAGGAATTTCACTGAGCTCTCCTAGAAATCTGTCTGACGTAGCAGTAAGGGTTGCATACCTCTGGCAGCAAGTGAGGGGGGACCTGGCCAGTGGTCCGTCTCAATCTTTGGTATTTCGTTGGGGTCTGGAGCCTGGGCTGCTGGGAACTTGGAAAACTTGATGATGTCTTCTGAAGACTTGCTCTGGGCTGCCAGGGCAGCTGCATCTAGGTGGGAACCAGGGGAGCTTAGCTGTGTTCTGCAAGGCAGTGTGGTCCAGTGCCACTCAGCACAGGAAGGTTTGTTCCCTGACAACATCCATTGCTCACCATCATCGCTACTCCTTGGTCCTGGGGTGGAGCCCAGTGGCAACTCAACTCCTTTTCCTTCCTTCCAGTCAGAAGCAAAGCCCTTCTGCACATCTGTTCCATATCAGATAAACCTTACTCTCCTAGCTCCAATACCAGCTCCGAGTGGCTATTTCACTTAAAGCCCTTACAATGTCAAATGCTGCTCCTGGGTTACACAAGCTACACAGACAATCCAGGGTTTAGTAACCACAGGTGACCAGCAGGCAGTTACAGAAAAATGTCTACTATCATAGAAAGCTCTGCTGGCTAACACCCTTCCAGAGGAATTAGAAATTCAAATTAGCAAATGGAAATTAAAGAGCTAAATTAAAAGCATAACACTGTCCCTCGACTGCATTTGCTAATTATTAGAGGGCTGGCTGGCTTTGCATATCCTTTTGGCAAGAAGCCACAGGTGTAACAGTCAAGTTCATTTTCAGTCTTATAGACTGCAGATGTGCCCTTGAGCTCAAGGAGAAGCAGGAACTGGAAACTCCAGTTTAGTTTGCAGGAATTCAGCACAGCCCTGTGATTTGCATTTGCCTCCTGATTTTGTGTTTAAGGGTCTGCATGTATAAGTGCATCATTTGACAGTAAAACAATAAAAATCACACTACCAGCAACCATTAGCCAAAAGAGTTCTTAAGGGCTCTACTTAGAGGGTAGGGGTGACAGATTGGCTTAGAGCCCAAATACAATCACAGAGGTCCCTGGAAACACCCAAATCAGTTATTAACGAGTCACTTCTGATTCACAGTGACTCTACCATTGAATTTCCAGGGCTGTAAATCCTTACAAAAACAGATTGCCACTTCATTCTCTTATAGAGGGGCTGGTGGGCTTGAACTGTCAACCTTTGGGTTAGTAGCTGAGTGCTTTAACCATTGCCTCACCAGATTCATAAATGCAGAGCTGGAGAACTCTAAATCAGGTGAAAAGGGCGGTCTCCAATTCCCACTAACTTTACGACACTGGAATGGCCTGGAATGCTAATAAACATATCACAATATAATGCAGCAAATAAAACTTTTCCCTGTGGATCAAGATAGTTTTACATTCACTTTTTTTTTTTGTATCTGGAAATATCTTTCTGACCCTTCAGCTCCATGTCACAGTAAACGGCTGGTCAGGAAGGGAGCAGTTTTTCTCTGGACATCAATCTCATGAGATACATTTCAGCTTGGGACACACTGCATACTCCACCTCAGAACACTGAAGCCTGAGAAATACTGTGTTTTTAAAAACGTGTGACTTCTGAAAAACATTGAGCATTTCCCAAATGCCTCAGCGCACAGGCACTGTGAGCTTGGGAATTCTATTTCTCTACTTAACTCTCTTTAACTGTACTTCTTTTTCAGGGACCTGATTTTATACAGAACAATCTTTGAAGACATGGCTCTAGCTAGGCTTAATTACTGATAAGAAACTAAAAGTAAAGACTTCAATCAAATTTCATGAAAAGAAGCCCAAAATGAAGCATTTACTAGTCTCTTTAAAGTTTAATTATTGGATCATTTCTGCTTACAGGCAGGACCTCTTGATTTTAGACTTTTTTAAAAAAGTCTCTAAATGGATAAGCCAAATCCTGAGAAGCTTATTCTTAAATCAAAAAATCAAATCAAATCAAGAAAGACTTCAAACAGTACTTACGCATTAGAATTGGTGAAGTCAGTAGTTAGTTAAACATTCACATGTTAATGAGTGGATGGGAAGACATTAAACCATAAAAAAACAAACAAAAACAATGTTAACAAACTTAAAAAAGCAAGCACATGGTATAAAACCTCAAAAAGAAAAAAAAAGACAAGAAAACAAAATAAACTGATAGTTCTAGAATCACAGTATAAGTTTTTTCCTTTGGCTAGAATTTTGGCCTAAAGTTTTTTTTTTTGGTCTATTTTCAACTTTATTTACATTTTATGCTATATATACATTAAGGACTCATGAGTGTCAACTGGATTCTAAAGGGAGCCTTCAAATTTCCAGGCACAACTTATGCACAGTTTTTTTTGGCATTACCCATGCACCAGCCTCTGTTTGCTCTCTCCTCACAGAGATCTGTGGTGGGTTGAGCCCCTTAGAGACGCAGTACTGGTGAGAGCAAATGTGCTCTACATAAAGCGATATGATTTCCTAAAAATTCTATATTCTTGGCAATGGGAAATAAGGTTATAAATCCATTGTGGTGACATGTAGTCGGCAAGGATTTTCAGAGATGAATTGCTGTCACTCACTGGATTTTAGATGAGGAAACTGAGGCACAGAAAGGCCATGTCTGTGACATCGCAGTGCCACTTAGGAAAAGAGCTATGAACAGGGTTGGGACTCTGCTTCAGTTTTGTCCTGTCCACTGCAGTGTGGGGTGTGGCTGGCACGGTGACACACCCCCCCAAAGAGAAAACAGGGCATAGTCACATAACGAATGAGTCAAATTGCTTTTTTAGGGGTTTAGCTGTCGTGAGTCACACTAACTGACATTTCAAAGTGACTATTGAGGTTGATTAGACTATTTGATAGAAGAAAAGACTTGTTAGTTTGGAACCCACTGGGTTCTCTTTCTGAAAAGAATGATGTATGGATTCTTGGACTCAGAAATAGGTTATAAGTCTTATAACTGTTCTCCACCTAGAAAAAGAAATCTCATGACACCTGCATCTAACTGTCCAGTCAATTCTGACTCCGTGATCCTACAGGCTGGATTGGAACTGCCCCCCAGCATTTCCTAGGCTGTATATCTTTATGGAATAGACTGACACGTAGTTTTTCTCCCTTCAGAAGCAGCTGGTGAGTTCGAACTGCTGACCTTTCGGATGGCAGCCGAGTGCTTAACTGCGGCATCACCAGCAACTGTACAAGCACAGCCTGCCCCTGTGTTTCTCAAGAGAAGCAGCAGTGAAGCAGGTCTGAGGGTAGCAAAGAGGAAGAGGTCGGCGGACTGGGATACTGAAAGCTAAGCAGAGGGAGGTGGGGGGCGAGTTTTACCATGCTGTTTGTAGATGGGTGGCTTTCGGTAAATGTTGATCCCTTGATCTGTGGAAATGAAAAAGCAAAGATGTGTGAATATGAGAACCAGTTTACGGAAGGCAAAACCAGAACAACCAGGGGGCTAATCAAACTGAAGGCTCTTCGATAAAAAGAACCCAGAAAATAAACATGTATTACAAAGATCGCATTTACTGGAAAGGAAAAAAAAATTACAGAGATGAGCAAATTACTACAGACAAGTGATGTGGAAGCCTTTGTAATACATCTTGGTAGATACAGACACATAAATAATTCACGAGCCATTTATTTAAAATACACACCTCACTGAAGACCAGGAAGAAATACAAGCAGGGCAGGGAATCTGACAGTGAGGAAGACATAACCAGTTTGAGGATAAATCCCCAAATTGCTACTGTCTAGAAATTGAGCTCCCAGAAGCCCCTGGTGGCTCAATTTACTTCTCAACTAACGAATGAAATAGGGAAAAGCAATGTAGTAAAATTAAGAGCATATTTCTAAAACACAGAAAAAGGCTATTTATGTGCAGGCTAGCCCAATGTGCTGACGGGATGCTAAAAAACTCCTACCTGGTTTAAGCCAAATTAGACAAAGTAAAGAGATGTTAAATACTATTCCCATTTCCATGTTCTGTTTCCTTAAGAGTCATGGGAACAGGACTATATGTTGGAGCATTAAAGATGAAAAAAAAAGCAAATAAAGAAATTCGATGTTCCAGATTCAAGTAGATTCAAGTATTTTTTTAAAGGCAATACAAAAGCAAAGCCAAATTTCATTGGCTTTTTGACTTCCTTTCATTAAATTTAGAGTGCAAAAGAGAAAAATTCTTACAGATTCCAAATAGGAATATGATCATTAACAGACCAGGTAATTTATCAAAGGACTTTCAGTAGCTAAAAGAAGCCAAACAAGGTATTTCTGGTGGATAAAAACCAACACCATGGCCTCTGAGGTGTCACATTCTACCCTCACAAATTGAGCTGACATAAAACATGAGATTATTGATGGGCTCAGATTCTCCCAGTTCCTGATGGCAGAAGACTGTTCCGTGGTGGCAAATGCTTATGACCGAGAACAAAGCGGGCAGCATCACGCCTAAATTGCAAGGTATCTCTGCAGGAAGACCACCAATTCAGTTTTACGCTTTTCTGAAAAAGAAAAATCCCTGGACGACATCCCCACACTGGGGGAGCAATGAGAAATAGAAAAATCCTCTCAGGCAGTACTGGGGTTCAATCCTCAAGATGAGAGGCATTAAGCCACAGTGCTACCTTAAAAAAAGCACTAACTTCAAAATAAAGTTAAAAAAATGAGTATAAAGGAAATAAAACCACTTAGCTCCTCCTCTTTTCTCGTGCCCGCACCCACTTAAAAAAAATATCAGAAAAGTCTAGACTTTGAATATGATGTTGGCTTTTCCTGCACGAAACTCGATAAAAAGCCCCCTGGGTCAGATCCTGCAATTTAGGGTTTGTCAACTCTGTGCATCCCCCTTGAAACAGCATGAGTGATGGAGACGAGACAGAGGTTACAGGCTACATTCTACACGGTGACGGGACACCAAGACGCAGACTGGGTCAGCTCCTACCTGGAACATGGAAGTGTTTAGGGGTCTGAGCGTAAGTTGGAGTGAGAGGGCGGCTGTCTGGCCGGTAAGGGAGAGGGGAGTTCCGGCCGCTGGACGGCTCGTTGCCTCCAATGAGAAGAATGGAGAAAACAAAATGAGAGAGAGGGAGAGCAAGGAAGACACCACAGCCAGCATCATCAAAATCCAAGACAACACAGTGGGAGGGAGAGGCAGAAGAAACGGAATCAGGTCATCCACGCAGCTCGCCAGGGCGATACTGGCTTCAGATTCCCCAGAGAGAGACTGGCCATGAGGTAGAATCAGGTTCCAAGCGTCAGCAGTCAGAGGCGTCATTGCAATGGCATGCGGTTGGAGGCTGTGAGCGAGCGGCAAACCAATCAGATGGAGAGGAGAATCAAAGAAAAGGACACTCGCTGGCTCATGACCCAGGAGCGGCTGTCAAATGGTTAAGTCACGAGCATGGCATGGGGCGAGCCAGGCAAGTCCAGCCACCCTCACTCCCAGGCTGGCAACTGACATGGGTTTCTCTGAACTGAAGGCCAGGTCTGGGGACCTGCAGGGTCACCCGGTCCTTGCCCTGAGTCACAGAAAATGGCTTTGTTGCAACATGTTTCTGAATTCTGTACTTTGAAATACACACGACACTCAGAACCCTTCTCTGCGGTTCACTGGGACCACTTACACTTCTCCCCGCTTTTCCCTTTAAAGAGGAGGTCCTACCCACAGCAAATGAGCGAGCTAGCTACTTACTTCTGAGGATAAGACGCCCTGCCTTTGGGCGTCGCTGAGTCTATGGAGACAGATTTTAGAAAAACAACCATCAAGCTGTGTAACTGGTACTCGGAGGAACACGGAAGGTGCTATGTAGCTCAGATAAAGGATCCACGTGTTCTTTAAGAAAGACACATCGAGGCTGCTACACTTGAGCGGGGTGTGAAAGAGTAAGTTCACAGGTGGGTGAGTGGACAGAGGCTCACGGCAGTTACATGAAAGGAGGTGGGCTGGGCCTTGGTGGTGGGGACCAGCAGGCTGGACCACTGTGCATGGGCTGCAAAGGAGAGTGAGGGCTTGCACAAAAGCTTTGCAGGCCCTGACAGCCACTTCCTTGTCAGAACGGCAGGGATCCCCTGCTGCTTGCACAAAAGTGGGAAGGGATGTGCCTCTAATTGTGGGCAGCCATCCTATCTGAAGACTACACCAAAGGGAAACGGGCCTGTTGCAAGTTAATGAACGTGTAATTCCACTTGTTTTATCATTGGTTTGCAGGAGTTTTTAAAATATGTATACAAGTCCCTTACTGGATATAAGGCTTGCAACTATTTTCTTCCACCCCATCCCATGGAGTCCTCTGAAGCCCAAAAGTTTTAAATTTTTATGACGTTTCATTCATTTCTCTTTTTTAATGCCCTCAAAGGCACTGCCACTGAACCTGAAACCACTCACAGCTGACCCTCCGGTGGGTTTTTCTGAGGCTATAATTTGCAAGGGAGGAGATTATGCATCTTTCTGCCACAGGAGCTGCTGGTGAATGTGAATTTACAAAGAGTCACAGGCTTTGGTTAGCAACACAACTCCCCACAAGCCAGGCTACTGGGGCTTTTGATTTTTAAAAGTCATAGATCTTCATCTTAGCCCATTTGTTCAAGTCAAATAGTTCTACACACGGTTAGCAAAAATATGAAAAATCCTAGTTGCTAGTTTTAAAACAGCATCTTGATAGAGTTCTAATCTGTCTCCTGTTATGTATGTGGGTGTCACAGACAGAGAGAGAGTGTGTGTGTGTGTGTGTGTGTGTGTGCGCGCATGTAACTGGAGCACAAATTTGTACACTGGGCTATAAGATATTCCGAACATGGGCTCCAATTTTAATTACTGGCTTTTCGTCTTGGTGTTGCAATGCCTCTATCTTATCTCTTGTAAGAGTCAATTTTTTTAAACCACCAACTGCACTTCTATCCCAGAAGTACGCAGTTCAAATCCACCAGATGCTCTGCTGGAGAAGGAGGGGACAATCTCTTCCTGTACCAGTCAGATCTGATTTGACGGTACACCTAAAAAATAATACAATTTTTTTAAACCAGTTTCAAGTATGTTGTAATGTCGATTTTGCTCTTTAAATTATATATTTATTAGCATTTAAAAAGGATGGTGGTGATTTAGTGAGAAGCTCTGGGAGCTCTGGTGGCCTAGTGGTAAGAAGTTTGCTGCAATCCCAAAGGCATGTGGTTCAAATCCACTAGCTGCTCTAAGGGAGGAAGATAGGCTCTCCCCCCTGAAAAGCATGGATCAGTTCTGATTTGATGGTAAACAACAATTTTTAAAAAGGTATCTTATTTTTCACCATCCGGTGTGAAAAAGAATGTATATGAACCCTGTAGTAAACCAGTATATAAAAGCCAAAACAAAATTAACTAGTCCATAAAAAAATAAAACAAAACAACCAAAACAAAACTAACTAGTCCACGCTGTGAAAAACAACAACAAATCACATAAAAAGTACAAAGAGAAGCAAGCAAGGGAAGAGTGTGTACAGTCAGAAGGAAACCTGTTTAAAAATCTAAGGATGAATTAGAACTTGGGTCCATTTCTCTACATGTTGTTGGTACTGGGCACAGCGCCTGGTCAAGACCCAGTAGTGCTCGATACATGTCCATGAAGGACAGACGGAAGTCAGTTAACAATTTTGCTGCTCCATACTGGCCTAATGTAGCAAGTGCCACTCAAGGATTAGCCATAACCTTTCTCAAAGCTTTACTAAAGGAAGCCAGGTAGCAGTGCAGGAATCCTTTGTTTCACTGTATTTCACAGACACAACAGTTTTTACTGCATTTGGGGCAATCTTGCACTGGACATGTACTTGCTGTGTGTCTCGGTCACATTTTGGAAATTCTCAAAATATATGCAATATTTTCTGAATGCTATAGTGTGCTTAGAGCACTGGTGGCTTAGGGGTAAGGAGAGGTGCTGCTAACCTGAAGGCATGCGGTTCAAATCTACCCACTGCTCCATGGGCGAAACATAGGTAACCTCCTCCCATGTGATTTATTGCCTCTGAAAACCCACTGGAGGGTCAGCTATGGGTCAGCTTCACCTCGATGGTACTTAACAGCAATGATGACACACTTATAACAAACTCAACTGCCACTCGGTTAAAAGCAACCCTCCACTGAGTTTCTGAGGCTGTAAACTGCACAGGAAGAGACTGCCCATTTTCCCCTCCAGAGCCGCTGGTGGATTCAAATCAGCGGAGACGCGGGGCCTGCAGGTCAGCAGCCCAGCTCCCTGGTGTTAGCTAAGATAGCGGATGCAAACTTAACGCCTAGGACAGGGCATAAACGTATTTTTTATGCTCACAGGGAAACCAAAACGTTCATGTGGCTTTCTTTTTTGTGTTGTTTTGTTGCCGTGGTCAGGAACCAAACTCACGGCATCTCTGTGGTGTGCCTGCACATATGATGGGAATACAACAGCACCCCTGAGCCTTTAGGCACTCCTACGGTACAGCTTACAGTTTATGATACAGTTTACGGTACAGCTAAGCAATCCCACACCTCCAGTTTAAGTGTTTCACTTGACAAGAAGCTCCTGGGCTACTTGCAAATGAATAGGGACAGAAGAAAAATTGCTGCCTGTGAGCCTGGGGTTTGAGAAGAGAGCTGACTATCACATGGACGGCCAAGAAAACAAACAGATATGTCTTGTAGACGGTGCAGCCGGAGTGCTCTTTGGAGGCGAGGATGATGAAGCTTTGCCTCACATACTTAAGGTATGTTGTTAGGAGAGGCTATTCCTTGGAGAGGGACATGGTGCTTGGAAGGGTGGAGGGTCGGGGAAGGAAAGAAAGACCCTCAACCAGGTGGATTAACAAAATGACCACCATAATGGGTTCTAGTGTGTCAGGAGGTGTGAGGTGTGAGGACAGCATGGGACAGGGTTCAGATCCGCTGTTCACAGGTGGCCATGAGTCATACCTAACAACAGGAACAACAACAACCACCACCACCACCACTACTACTACTACTCTCAAAAGACCTAGAATCTCAACTTGCTGGCTCCAGGGTGTCTAATGAAGACTTTGGATGGGTTTCCACCATTCCTGCTTCTGGACCTTGTTATTCCTGGCATTCACCCTTCACCCTTCCCCTCCAACCCAGATATATCAGGAACATATTTTCACAGTTTTGTTTATTCCTTCCCAATGAGATGCAATGATAATAAGTTCATTTTGATAATTATTAGCTAGTGTCATGGATGTAAAAAAAATACCTCCAGGCAAGGTACACAAAGATTTTGGGTTCTGAGAGCCAGCCATGGAGGCTATCAATGAGGATCTCCACTGGGGAGGGGGTGAAGGCTATGAGAGGCGACCAAAGGGTCTGATCCCCACCCGGTGAGTCCTGGCTGAAGGCTGTTGGGAGATGGGGGCACAGTTCATGGTTTTTATTTAGTTGTTCATCTTCAACAACCACTGCTTATTCCAGCTATTAGGAATAAAATAATAATAATAAATAATAATAATAAGTCTTGTAATTCTTACAGTCTTTTAACTGATACTCCTATAGTCGTTTAAATGATCTTAACAAACATCTTAAAATGTCAGGTAAAAACAGTCATGGAAACACACCCATCTTAGTGACCATGCAATTGGATGGTCCCTGATAGATACCATTGCCAGGTACCTCAATCTAAGCCCTTGGGATACCAAAGTCATTCATTTTCGTATTAAGAAGAGAGAAAAAAAAATCAACCCCAAAGCCACTGCTGTGAAGTTGTCTCCCACACACAGTCACGGACAGGAGAAAGCAGAAGTGTCCCACCCACACCACCAGGAGGTGGCAGAGGCTGTAGGTCCTTACGGAAGCAGAACGCCACGTTGTCCCCCGTGGAAAAGGCGGGTGGCTTCAAACTGTTGACCTTTTGGTTAGCTGTGCTGCTAGGGCTCCCTGGCATCCTTAAAAGTTCCTGACCATCCTCAAAAGCATTTTTCCCTCTTCTACCTTGTTCCCCCGCCCCCTCTTCTACCTTAAATATGCTCTTTAATAAGTAACAAAATGTCCAACCCTAGTCTGCCAGAAAAGAACTGGTGAGGACTCAAAAACATATTT